GCCCAGTTCTTGAGTCCGCCCGCCGGAAGAGGGGGCGGGGCTGCGCTCGCGCGGTCCTAGTGCCCGCCGCGCCCGGCTCCCCACCCGCCCCAGGAGCCGGAGGCTTTGGGGTCCGCGCTCCGCCAGGCTCGGCTCCCCCTCGAAGCAGGGGCTCCTCTTTCCCCTCGGGAAGAAAAATCGAGGCTTTGCTTCTCCCCAGAGCTCGGGCTGAGGCTCTGACCCTGGCTGAGGCGGAGAGCCTCGGAGGACATGACGGGACCGGCCGGGCCGAGCTACAAAGATTCTTTTCTCCGGAGTCAATAGCTCAGTCTCAGGGGCCACGTGTCGCCCAGGGGCCCGGGGCTCCAGCTTCCAGGTGCTAGGCAGCCGAAGCCTGGCAACCGGATCCGGGGAGCCCAGCTGGGCGGGGAGGCCGAGCTGGGCCCTGGGCCAGGGGAACCTGGGCTCCAGCCTAAGGCTGCGCCCACATTCCTCCCTCGACCGCGGCCCTGCAGCCCAGATCGAGCCCAACCCAGCCCTGGGGTGGCCACCACCCCCACCCCTGAAGAGACCCACACTCTAGGCAGGCAGCTGATTTTTATTGGCGCTACTTTCCAGTCATCTGGGAAGCTGGTCTGGTCCAGCCAGCTAACCTTTCTCCCAACCTGCTTTGGGGGAATGGCGTGGGGTGAGGGGCAACCTTACGGCAGGAATCCCCTCTGCAGTCCACTGCAACCCATGCACTCCCGCAAGGGAAGGGAGGCACTCAGAAATTGTGCAAATCCCTGCCTCAGGATGTAAGAGTGGGGGCGGGTGGCAGCACTCCTGAGACCTCCTTGCCTCAGGCCAATGCAGGGGCTAGGCCACCGGAATGGCCAGTCCAGGCAGGCCCCGGCTTGCCCTGCTCCAAAGCACTGAGCTGCTCTCCCAGTAGACAGCAGGGACTTATTTTCTGATTGGACTAGGGGAAGGGGCAGGGTCTGGGTAGAGTCACAGCTACCGCCAGCCTTTCTCTGCAGAGGCTCTGGAGACCACCCTGCTTCCAAAGGTTAACATCTGGCTTCCAACTCTAGCCAGGCTGAACCCTGAGGACGCTGACTAAAAAGAAAGGGTGGGAAGGGAAAAGAGGGATGCTAAGGGAATAGGGTGGGTTGAGTTTTACACATCCAGGGCAAAATGTGGAGCAGAGGCTTTACTGGTTCTTATACTCCACTGATGATACAATCCAGGGGGATGGTCATGCCTGAGGCACCTGCACTTTTCAAGAACAAGCAGAGGAGAAGCAATATCAGGGTAGTCCAGAGGTGTATCCAGGTGCCTTAGGGTGGGACTGGCTCATCTGTGATGGCTGGAGAATACAAATGAGAAATCCCTGCAGCTTCCCAGAGGGCAGTGCCCCCAGCAAGACTCAACTACCTCAGTTCCCACACGGGGCCCTAGACTCTGGATCCTGCCAGGCCAGAAACAGAGGTTCACACTAAACTGAACTTGAGAGTTGGAGAAGAAAGAATGCATTTGGGCCCTGGTGAGCAGTGGAGGCAGCCCTTCAATGAGGCTCAAGAAGCACCCACCCTTGTCCACCCCAGGGGCTCACTTTTGCCCCACAGTTTTTGCTTTCTGGGGGCTGAAGATGGTTTTAGTAATTTGGGACCACTGAAGATGGGAGTGCAGACAGAGGCCAGCTGGATTAACCCTTGTGTGGGTGAGGGTGAAGTTATAACTCACGGCGAACAGCTAGGAGTGTGTTTCCATGGCAACAGGACACAGAAGTCACTGTGTAGGGGTGTGTCTCATCCAGCTGCACTAGCCTGGGGAGTCCAGCATCCTCATCCCTCCTTCCCAGTCGACCTCGGGCCCCTTTGCCCCAAGAGTACACTTCACTTTCTGCCAAAGAGAATCCCAAGGAGGGAAATGGGAGAAGGACATAGGTTAGTAAGTAGCTATCCTCCTAGACTGCCATACTAGCCCCAACATGAGGTTGCTGAGTACAGCAGCCCTGAGCATCACCCACCATTGCCCATGGGCCTGCGCACGCTCCTATCTGCCCCCATAGTGCCCACTAATCACCTGCCCCAATGGCTACAGTGAAGGCATCCCCACAGGCCACCATCGCTATCTTGATGCCCTGGAGGCCTTGGACTTGACAAGGGGCCCGGCTGACCCGGCGAGCGTTGGTACCCAACTGCCCATGCTGATTGCTGCCGAAAGTGTAGCAGTCACCAGAGGCTATAGGGGAAGAGGAAAAGAAGAAAAGGGTGCCTCAACCGAGGACCCAAGGAAGCCAGGAAAGTCCACCTCTGACCTCCTGTGCCACGTCCTGCTCACCAGTTATAGCAGCTGAATGAGCAGTGCCCAGGTCCATGCTCAGCAGGGGCTCCTGGTCCAGGGGTGCAGAACCTAGTGGTGTGAAGCTTAGGGCCTCCTCCACTTGCTGGTGGGGAGCAGGTTCCTCCCCCAGGGAGAGGTGGTCCAAACCCAGCTTATTGAACCTGAGGACAGAGCCAGAAGCCAAGTCCAGTTTATACAGACTGTCCTCGCCCCTACTTATCTGAGCAGGAGCTTGTGCACCAGGGGACAAATCCCACCTTGGGTTGAACCCAGCACCCTCAACCCCACCTCAGTTCTTATCCCTGATGGGAGATAGGCAATGACTGAGCACTGGCAGCTGGGGAGGGCGGGGGGCAGGCTGCTCATCAACATGCATCTACTTACCTGTTGCTCCCACAGGCCAGGGCTCGGCCAGGCACAGTGAGGATCATGGAGGAGTCAATACCACATACAACCCGCTGTGCTTCCTGTCCTGGGGGCATGGGTACCTGCTGGGGACAGCTGTGGGACTCCCTGGTGCCCAGTCCCAGCCGGCCTACAAGGAGAAACCAGGATGGGACTAGACTGAGCTTTAGGGTTGGTGATGCCAGGATAAGAAGGACCCATGGAGAGGAAGTAACAGCATGAGTGAAGGCTATTCCTCAGACTGAAATGCCCATCCTTGGCCCCTCCGTGAGTCAAAATCCTACTCCTCCTTTAAGGCCCTGTTTAGATGCCACATCTGTCTCCTCCAGGTGGAGCTCCTTGCCATTCCTTGGGTTCCCACACCTCTGGACCTTGCGGGGAGGCCTGCTGCTGTCTGTCCTCTATCATGATGGGGAAGTGTCATCCCTCCTCCATCTAGAATCAGTCCTCTAGGAGGAGAGGAACCCCATCTAAGTCATCTCTAGTTTCAATGCCCAGCCTGATTCCTGACCCAGAGAGGTCCACAACAGATACTGCTGGACGAGTCAAATCCCTCTCATTACATCATGAGCACCTGAAGGAAAAGACATCTTGTTTATCTTGTCTCAGCACCCAGCACAAAGTGGGCACATAATGGGTGTGCAATAAAGATTTCTTGAGTTAATAAATGAATGGAATTACAGTGAAAAGAGGGAAGAGAGAATGGGCCATGGAGTAGAAGATGGCTGTGAAGAACAAATTGTGGCTGAGGGGTACTGTGAGACGGAGCCAGAGGCTGAAACAGAGTGAAAGCTTACCACCATCTCCGCGGCCCCAGGCAAACAGTTCTCTCTCAGTGGACAGGGCCAGCACGTGAGAGGCCCCACAGGCCACCTGCACCATCTCATAGCCCAGCAGGGCCTCCACAATGGTGGGCTAGAAAGAGAGGAAGCAAGGGTAGACTGTGGGCAAGGGGCCTGGAGTAGCCACCTGGCCTCAACATCCCCTGTAGGGATGAAGTTGAAGACTGCAGTCTCAGGAAGGTGGCTGTCTCTTTAAATCCCCCCTACCCGCCACTGCAACCAGTGAGGAAGCCTGGTCTTTCTGTACTTCCCCCGATGCTGCCCAGAACAGGTGCAGCCTGGGAGCTAGAGGGACCTGTGGCTGCTGGGTATTCCCCTGACCTCAGTGTCAGCTCTCAGATTTGGGCTCCTTGCCATCTCCCCACTTCCTCCTCCCCAAAGTACACGCAGCACCCACCTGACTGATGTCATTGAGGCTGCCATGGCCTAGGCACCCATTGCTGCCACTGCCAAAGGTCATGATGATGCCTCGGTCTAGAGAGGGGGACAGTGAGGAAAGGAAAAGAAGAGAGGAAGAAGAGAGGTTAGATTGTTTCCAGACAGACCAGTGCAACCTTGGGCTGGAGGAACAAGAAAATTTAATTGCACGCAAGGGCTGGAAGAATGGGAACGGGGAGAAAGGGACAGGGGTCTTTCTTCCCAAGTGACAGCCTCTGAGCTTTAGTTTCCGGATCTGTCAAATGGGGATAATGTAACTGCTTTGCCAGGCCTGCTGTGAAGCTAAAGAAGAATGTGTAAGTAGAGCACCCCTGGTGGACAGACGCATTATTAAGTGAGTAGTTTGCAAACGACAGGCAACGAGGAAAGTTGCTCTGGAAGGCCTTCTTATAGCGGGGTCTCCACAGGGTAGTCCCGTGACTGGCTCACCAGTTAGGCAGGCTGTGAAGAGGTCCCCACAGGCCACATGCTTGATGGTCACACCTGACTGGCCCTCCAGGAAACGGGAGACGAACTGGGGCTGCTGCTGCTCCACTGCTCCTGGAAGGAGGGAGCCCCCTGCGGCGCCTAGGGGCGGGGCCTGCGAGGGGAGACGAGAGGGCGGGGCCGGAGCCTGAGCGCCCGGCTCCTGACACGCCGCCCCCAGCCCCCGGCCCCAGACCCGCATCCCC